AGCATCGCCATGGCGACAAGGCGTTTAGCTCTACTGGTCATTCTGAGGGATTAAAGAGTTTAAACCTTCTGAGGGTAAAAAGAGAAATAATGAAATGGAGGAAAAACCAGAGCGGACGCTGGAAATGAGTTTATTTGCCTTTGGAGGCTGAAAACGAAGCTGCATTTAAAACGGATTCTGTTTTCGTTCCTTTAAGGTTTTATTCTGGCGTTTTTTTCTCCATGATGACAGAAACTTTCTGCCAGCAATCAGCTGATCTGAACACCTGATCTTGCTGCGCTCACCTGCCGTCGCCGTAGCGATGGGGGTGGTGCTCCTGGACGTCCTGCAGGAAGCGCTCCAGCAGCGTCAGTCCGCTCCTGGACGAGGACCTGGGGGAGGAGCCTCTGGAGGACGTGCTGACTGCGTCCAGGTGTCTGAGGCTGGACAGGTGCTGTGAGGGACAGGTGATGATGTCATCAGTGACTGAGAGCGGCCGCTGGCTGGTAGGGGGGTGCGGCGGCATGCTGTACCTGCTCCAGGTGGGTGTAGAGGACCCTGCAGTAACCGCAGTAACCCTGCCTGCCGGGCTCACACCTGGACGGACCGGCCTCTGGCTCCGCCCACCTCCTGCCAGACACACAGCAGCTTCACTCACCTGCAGACGGACCCCACTGACAGAGCGCAGAGGCACTCACCTGTTGGGAGGCTCCGCCTTCTTCTGGTGACCTGCCATGAAGCAACCAATCACAGTCAGAGACAGAGAGCAGCTCAGAGAAAGAAAACGGTTCTGATCTCACCTTCATCAGAGGGGCGGGGCATCCTGACGGCACACCTGGAGAACACACAGCGGTTAACATGGCTCCACCCACCCCCCATCATTCAGAGGACATCACTCACCTGGAAGCAGGGCGGTCAGGGCGTCTGTCCAATCAGAGGGCTCCATGCTGTAACCAACGGTAATGAGGCGGGGCTTCCAGGGTCCATGAGCCTGGGGGGCAGAGGGTGGGTTAGCATGCTAGCAGCTCTGACCGTGATGTCATGATCTGCTTCTCTGTTCTCCATTTTTCATTTGGATGAAATAAGAGGAGGCGGGGTTACCAATCTACTCGCTCTGGAGAGCAGAGTTCGCTGCTTTTAGAT